GGAGCAGGAGAGAAAGCTAGGTACAAACAAAGGATAGAGAAAACATGGTTTTAGTTCTGGTCTGAGTAAAGGAAAAGAAGAGAGGAGGAGTTCTAGTTTACCGAAGGAGAGGACAAAATAAGTTCAAACCTAAATTATTGGGATTCTGTTTGAAAAAACAAAGAAAATAAAAAGAAAACCAAAACAAAATTACAAGGATTCTACCAAGATTGAGGAAGGAGAAGAAGATGATTATGAGGGCATTTGGCAACAAGATTAAGTCTTTTCTTAATTAATTTTAAATCATGGAATATTTATATTTTAATCAGTGTGTAATGGAGAGTGAAGGATGGTGATGTATATCAATCATCATCCTATTAAAAATTATACTCAAATATATGGTTAACCAATAATTTGCTTTGAGTTGTTACCAAAACCAAACTATATCCTCCCCTAATTTCTCACTTGTTTCCTTCGTGTGGCATTGTGGCTAGTTTAGTGATCTCGTGTTTTTGCCCATCCTTGTCCCCTTCTTTTTATTTTATTTTTAATTTTTTTTAATTTTTATCTTTAATTACACAGTGAAAGACAACTCTTTCTAATATTTTATTTCATCACATTTGTATACTATGCGACTTAAATTTAAGACAATTTACTTTCAGTAGAAAAAGATTACATTTGAATTATTTAAATCATTAGTAAATAATTATTCACTCTAAAAAAAGGTTGTAAATAGTGATTTAAACTTTGTAGATATGGCGTGCCCAAAAAAGAAAAACTTGCAGAGATGAAGGTTTAAATCCATTCACGACTGTTTAGTACCAACAATTTTTTAAAAATATTTTGAGTTGCTTAATTAAAAGAAACATTATTCTATTTAATAATACATTTTAACTACATGTTATATTACTTAAATTCAAAATTATTTATACTTTTACAAGACATATTATGGGGGTGGTTAATGCCCACTTATTTTGAAATTTTGTGTGTTTTTGATCATTTAATTAACCTCCAAATAATTCCCTAATAAGCCAATTTTTGGAACCCTTTTTCTTGAGGTCTAGTTAAAGCCTTTCTCTTAAATTTCCTGCAGATCCTCTTTAAGTAACAGTTAGATTATTAAAAAATTAAGAATGATGAACATAAAGAAGATATGATCCAAAACAGCAATAAAAACAAGAAATGAATACCTAGGAAGCATAATAAAATATAGTCTACGATTTCTAATAATTAAGAATTTAAATTTTTATATTTTATATTTTAAATTTAAATTTTGATATAAATAAATAAAAATTTATTAAAAAAAAGTGATTATTTTCTATTATATAAATTTTTTGTTAACATATAAAAAAATATAAAAGATAAAATAGTCAAATAACTTAAAATAGTGTGATATTAAACTTTTTTGTGTATGGGAATAATCATATCCGGAGATTACTACTAAACCTTAATAGCTGACAATTAATATCTCATGTTATAACCCAAGAAACAGAGAAAAAAAATTTTCTCCTACTGACTTAGAGCTAGGGATGGCAATTTACCCCGATCCTCATGGGGTCCCGTGAGGATTTTTGTCACGAGAACGGGGCGAGGAGGAATATTCCTCCCCACGAGGCGAGAACAGGGAGTATTTTCTTCCCGTGAAAATTCGCGGGGAATTTTCCTCACTCCGCAGAGCCTCGTGGGGATCCCCATTCCCGCAAAAAATTAAAAAAATATGTAAATTAGTTTTATTTTAAATTTAATTCAACTTTCAAACTTAAATTCAATTCAATAAAATTTAAATTTAATCTAATTTTATTCAACCTATTATTAACCTTTTAGTTATTTATGTTAAATTGATCTTTATTTATGTTCGAATAATTTATATTTAAAAAAATTTAATTAATTATACTTGAATTTTTAAATTTTTATTTATTATAATTAAATATTAATTAATTATATGTAAAAAATTTATTTTTTTATATTAATTGGTGGGGAATGAGGATCCCCATTCCCCATGAGGAACGGGATGGGGGGCAAAATTTGCTCTCGTTAAAAATCCCTGCGGGGATCCCCGTCCCCGCCATTCGTGAGGACGAGGATGGGGAGGGACTCCCCGATCCCGCGGGACCCGTTGACATTCCTACTTAGAGCATCTTTGAGTTAAGTTGTAAGAGTTTTAGTTTTTTTATATTATTCATATTTTATAAATTTAATTTTTTTTTTTAAATTTATATTTTTTAATTTTTTTTTAACTTTAAAAATACCTGAAACTAAAAATTTTGAAAAGTTTCAAATTTATGCTTTTTATAAATTATTTTTTTACTCATTTCTTATTCATTTTTTTGTTATTTTTAAAAGTAATTTTTAAATTTTTTAAAATAAAAATTTAAAATTATCATTTATAAATAATATAAAAAAATAAAAACTTTTACAAATTAATTCAAATATATTCTTAATCAACCTATTGATAATCTCTTTTATTAAAAAGTAAAAGTTTGTAGGTGGATGAGAGAAAACCTCACTATACAATCTAAAATATATAAGAAAAAGGCGAAAATTCTCGACGAAGTCTAAAGAAAGGAGCTGAATAAAAAAAGCAAGAAAGAAAGATAGAAAACAGCCGAGCAGACAACGACAGTATTGTTGTGTGAATCATGAGAAGTATGGCCCAATGCCCTCTGAGCAGTACAAAGATGTCAACTGCTTTCTTTCTCGATGCCACAGGTTAAAAAAGTCTTGTTCGAATCTCTCAATCTCAGACTCCTTAAGAGTTTAAAAAGTTCGAACTCTAACTCGCGTACCGACCGGGTCCCGCGCGTCGCGCACCCATTTAACGTTTTTTAAAATCTGTTTAGTGTGACTTATGAGAGTTTTTACTTTTTTTAGTAATGTTATGAGTGATAAGTTTAAATTTTTATTAAAAAAAATAAGTTTTTGCTTTTAGAGATATTACAAAGTGAATAAAAAGTGAGTAAAAAAAAAGTTTATAAAAAGTTTGAATTTAAAACTTTTAAATTTTTACTGTTTAAGAGATTTTTAAGATTAAAAAAATATTTAAAAATGTAAATTTTTTTTTTTAAAATTTAAATTCATGAAATATAAATAGTATCAAAAAACTAAAACTCTTGAGAATTGATCCAAAGATGTCCTTACTTTCTAGCTTCTACTTTTTACCGCTCAAAA